ATGCTTATAAAAGGTGATTTTTTGCAAAATTTCCTAATAATTTAGAAATGAAATTATGTTTCGATATTTTATGACTTAGATTAGCATTTCTTTCGTTCATAGTTCACTATCCAAACATTGTTAAGATTTAACCAAGCTTTTGCATTGTAATTTTTCACCCAAGAGCTAAAGGTTCAATATCTTTTAGGAATATTTTGAGGGTAGACATTTGTCCCTTGCTTAACCCCCCTCCTCTCCTCAAATTATTTAGCACATTTATCCGAATCAGGTTAATCTATGCAAGTTCCAATTCTCTTTGTAAATTTTTCTTACCTTAAAAAAAAAATTTGTTATAATTCCGTACATACCAAACCTCCCTGTCTATTGCAATTCATTGAATTCAAGTCCACATCTTGACAAACTACCTAAAATTATCAAAATGACCATAAAATCGAACTTCTAATTCAATGAATACATAACATAATACGTGTTTATCAAATTATCACCCTTATGATAAGTTATACCATTGTGGTAAAAACAAACTTAGGTTGTTGTATATGTAATATCAAAATCAATATGAAAATGATATAAATAAATATAAAAATAAAAATTATATGCATGGTGACCCATCAAAAACAAACGAGTAGTGATGCCGTGCAGGGCTTTTTTTAGGTTGAAATTGGGAGGTAAGAAGGACTGAAGCAGCTGCCGTAATGGTGGGTCATCTTTCAAGACATTTTGCATGATGCCATGCCAATTTTCTAGCCTTTGCCTCCTCTCCTTTTACCTATTTTTTCTCATCAATCTTTATTTCCCTCACATTACTCTTACATTATGTTTACAAATCATAAGTCATGCATTGTTATTGCTATTATATGTACACCGACTGTACGCATTGATGTAATTAAATAAAGCCCGTGTATGAATGACAAATAGTTGGTTAAAGTCTAAAAGTCGGGGTAGACCACTGATAATCAATACCGGAATCAAATCTTGTGTACATGATTTACCTTTGTGGCTCACTGGCTCTTTATTTTACTGTAAGAAAAACCATTGAACGAAAGTAATTTTGTTATAAATTTCAAAATCTCTCTGTATCATTTAAAGAAACCTATATATCGTATTTAACATTAAGTGTGGTAAAACTGTACTCCAATAATACAAATGAATTAAGCTCGATTTAGTTATAATTTCTGGTTTATTACATATCATAGGGTTACTAAATTAATGCTTATACATGGAAATTATGATTACGTATAATAATGTGTTTTTTTTTTAAATCAATTTTGTTGGTTAGTATAGTACTGTAAAAAAATCGATTTCTTGTGTTCTGTTTGGTGGGTTTGTTTTCTTTGTATGTCAGTTTCATTAATTAAAGTTACCAATGCATACATCTTGGTTTTGGGGAAGATCACCAGTACCAAACTTAACTTTTCTTGAGAGATTCAATCCCTTCTTTCTTTCTCAACTAAACTTTCATTGATTTTTTTTTTTTATTAATTTTTTTTTATATTTATTTAATTATTATTAAAAAAAATTTAATTTATATTTTTGGTGGGGAGTGGGGGTGGGAGCGCTCTTTTCATTTTCATGAAGCGTAATTAATGGTGTGATGCACCACTCCATTCACAAGGATTTGGTGAATCTGATTTTGCCCTTCATATTTTATTTTCTTCTAATCTAGATGACTAATTCATAACAGTAATTGGTAGCGCAAATTATAAGCTAATCTTTTTAATATGTGTCACATATTTCAATTAATTCTCCTAGACTTTAATCACAAAAGATTCTTTTAGGTACTCACATGATATTGTAGGTATTACCTCCATAAAAAATTTCTTTCAAATGACCTTAATACTCAATATATATGAGAGTATATATTCTTATATACGTAGTACAATAGTACATGTATCCAAACAATCTAGGTAATTTTTTATGACTAGAATAAATAAATAAATAAATAAATAACAAAAAGTAGATGAGTTGATGTGAAGTTTGTTGTCTTCCGTCGGTATGATTAAATTAGATATATTAAAAATATAGAAGGCGATAGAGAGGTGGAGAACATGCCTGCAATTTGTAACAGAAACCCTTCTATGATATTCACTAAAAACACTTGATATCTCAATAAGAATTTACTTTATTTTCTTATTAATTTGACATCAGTTCATCATAATCACAAACTGATTATAGAATACAATGTATACATATAATATTCGCAATTTTATATCTTGCTATAAATATTATTAACTACAGACTTAATTTGTATATATACGACTCTTAGCTTGCTTTGAAACTTAATCACATTGTAATTTACTTGTATTAATTACAACAAATAAATTTTTAGAAGTTACAATGTGATCACTTATAGAGTTGTATACTTAGGGCCTGTTCACTACAGCTTAATTTCAGTTCAAGTGCAGTTCAGCTCCAATCAGTGCAGTTCAGCTCCAATCAATTCAATTCAGTTCAACTCCTAATTTATTTTCCTCATTAAATATTCATTTCAGCTCTATTCAGTTCAGTCCATCTCCAATCAGTTCAGTTCAATTTAGTAAATGTGAACAGTCTCTTAGTTTGATTTTAGATTGAAATTAAACTCCACAATGGAAGTTTTAAACATAACATACCACATTTCTAACATTCATACAATAGATTCTCTAATTTTTTTTCCTTTATGATTCTTGAGTCAACTTAAGTAACAAGTTATCAAAATCTTATGTATGCTATCAATCTTCCAAAGCATGTATTGACTTTCAACTCATTAAAAAAAAAAAAAAAAAAAAAAAAAAAAGATTTTATGTCTTATTCCCACCTTACAATTTTTTTCTTCTTCATACGATTACCAAATGCCAATCTTCTTTCTTTATCATCTGTTGTTTGTTGAGCCTTCTTTATGCAAATTTACCGCGTTATGAGATTGAAATCATACTATACATGACTAAGACATTAGACTTTTTAGCTCCAACAAAAAATAAATTTTAAAATATATTAATAATAAGTTGGGTCACTTGGGTGTTTAATTTCAGACCTAATTTTTCATCTTCTCCACCTTCCTAGATCAATCAATTTCTTTCTCCTTTTTATTTGGAAATGTCATACGAAGTAATAATATGACCCTAATCAATGTTAATTAATTATGGTTAATTTAAATATTTAGATTATTATTGTAATCAAATTTCCAACAGTTTCCTCTCTTTTTTAGAACGAAAGGCAATCACTTGCTTTACGTCACACTAGATTACCAAAAATTATGGGCGGCTAATCAAATGATTTTGACGCTAAAACTTTAAATTACTCGTATATTAATATAAGGGTAAATAATAATAATAATAATAATAATAATAATAATAATAATAATAATAATAATAATAAAATGTCAAAAATCAAAGCATAAGGTAGCTTAGCCAATCTAGCCATTCATAGAATTGCCACCTACGCAGCCACGCAGATCTTCCACGTCCTTGTGGCCCCACAAGAAGAGGACTTGTTATTAACGGTCAAAAAATTCGAATTCTCCCACTAAATTTAGGCTATTTTTTTTTTCTAGCAATTAACTCTAGCCCTCCTCAATTATCCTCTAATTTACTACGAGTAACTTTTTATTGACGAGATTTGATCTCGAAGTATTATACGAAGTATTAGTTATCATTATCATAATTTTATTCAATAAATCTATTTATAATATTTAGTACATGTGTAATTATACAGTGATATTAGTGTTAATTATGGTATTAATATTATATGTCAATATGCTTATAAAAGAAAATTATAATTTTAAATAAAATGGTAAAACAATAAACTTTTAAAATTGTCTAGCTCAAATGTTAAATAGATTTACCATGAATAAAATATAATTTTAGACAATAAAATTTGACAAGACTAACAACTAATTTCAAAGAAGGGATTATTAGGTAGATCGTTTATAGATTCATCCGAGTTATTATAACCTCTTGTTCATTTGTCTAACTAGAATCACCCAAATATGGAGGAAGTTTAATTTACTACTTACCATTCATTCTTTGAATTATTATCTTTACATCTCATGTAGTCATGTGGATACACCAAAAACTAACTCCTCCTTTTCCTGGTGACCTTTGAGCAAATTATTAGGTGCATCAAGATTTGAAAGTCTAAATTTTCATATAACTAATTTATGAATGGATATACATATATGATATATTATACACTTAACACCTATTTCTTCTCAATGATCTTGTTTTTTCTCGTGGCACACTTTTGTTCAAAGTCAAGAAACAGAAACGCCAACTATAGATAAATTTAAAAATCATCTTCACAACTCCTCTATTTAATTACAATTTCAAAAGAAAAAAAAAAAAAAAAAACCTCAATCCTTATATTTCGTAAAAAAAACTACTACACCCTCCGATTATACGCGTATTTTTGTAAAATGGTGAGTTTAATGATATACAGTACGATTAACCTCGTTGTGTTATTGTATACAGTACACCTATTGTAATACAGGAAGTAATCTAATGAAATAAATAAGTTATTTAAATCTAATAATTTATTGACAAAAGTTAGAAAATAGAGAAAATGCAAACAGAGGAGGGCCTGCAACTCAGTCTACCTTCCCAGTTCCCACCCTCCTACCAAATTAGACCAATTGACTTCTAAAAAATAAAAACCAACAATAAATAATTAATTAAAAATAGATTACTACTTAAAGTAAGTAAGAAGTTAATCACATTTGGTACTGTACTCAAAATTTCCCTTTAATAATGGTAACCAAACACGAGACTCCCTCCTCAAGAAAAGCCATTTCTATCTCCATCCATTTCCCCCCCCCCCCCCCCCCCCCCACGAGAACATAATTTTATTTAAAATTAAATTTATTATTTTCTCTCTCATTTTTTTTAAAAAAAAAATAAATATAAATTACGACTTTCTCTCTCTAAAAAGGACTGATTCGTTTCAACCCCTCTTTCTCTCTTTCAGCATCATTTCAGAAGCATAATTATAAGGAAAAACTTACACTTCCCCCTCTTCCCACCCAATTTAAAGTAGGTGAAAAACAACACAAACTCACAATTTCAATCTCTTTGCTTTATTAATCTTCACCTCACATTTACTTTCAAACCCGACTCATAAATCAATGATTCTCTCTATCTCTTTCCTCCTCGTATGGACCCGTTTAACAATTTTACCTCCCAATATTTACAGCCCACGTTAAAATAAAAAGAATAAAGGCATTGAAGAGTCCGCCTTTAGTTCTCCTGATTTATCTTGGCAATAATAATAATAGAAATTTCTCTCTCTTGTATTTCTATTTGTCTATTGATTTGATCCATTACAATTACAGTCTCTCATCTATCTATCTATCTATCTATCTATCTCATGCATCTTCTGTGTATGCCTTAATTTCCCACAACTTTCTCTCTCTTAAACTTTCTCTCTCATCTCTTTATTTGTGTGTTTGTTTTAGCACCCTCATCTCCCCACATTGCTCCATACTCTTCTCTCTTTCTTTTTATATCTTCATTCATCAACTCCCATTAATTCATATTATTTCTTTCCTTCTTTCTCTTTTTATACCATTATCATTATGGCTGTTCAAGCTCAATACCCTTCTAATATTCTCCTCTTAAACAGGTTTTTTTTTCTTCGTCTCTTCCTCTTCCTCTGCTTTTTTTTTTTTTTTTTGATGAATGAAAATAAAATTACAAGTATCTGATGAAATGATTGATTTTGGAATATATGAATGCAGAAACGTTCAAGAAACCAACGATTATTCTTTACAACAGCAACCTGGTGGTGGTGGTGGAGGTGGATTCATTGATCAAAATCATATGCTTTTTACTAATAATAATGGAGGTTGGTTTTTTTAAAAAAAAAATTTCAAAAATATCAAAATTCCTGTTATTTTTTAAAATGGGGTGAATTGATTTTTTTTTTTTTTGATTGGATGATTATTTAGTGGGGGTTAATCAAAGGAAAAGAAGCAGAGAGGTTGCAGGAGCAACAACAGCAACTACAACAACGACGACAATTAATTCATTCAATTTCTCCCTCCAAAATCAGCAACAGCAACAACAAAATCAGAATCATCAGTTGATCGATCTTTGTCAACTACAAAATCATCAACAACAACAGCAGCAACCTAATGTGGTGTCAACTGGTCTTAGATTATCATTCGGAGATCAAAATCATCAACTTCAACAACACCAACAGCAACAACAACAACAACAACAAATTCAACAACAGCAGCAATCTAATAATACAATTATGTCTCTTCTTTCTGAAGAATTCGCCCTTCAATTTAAACAACAGAGTGATGAACTCTCCTACTTTCTCCATTCCCAGGTATTTTTTTTTTCTTCCAAAATTAAAAAAAAATCAATATTTTGATTTTTTACCAATTGTGAAAGTGTGAAACGGTCAACCAGTGCCATAAATACCAATGGTAAATTTTGGAGTGATTTTATTTATTTAATTTATTTAAATATTTGACAATAAAAATTCAGGGGGAACAATTGAGGCGCACGTTAGCAGACAAAAGGCAGAGGCACTATCGTGCGCTACTAGGCGCAGCGGAAGAAGCCGTCACACGACGGATGAGAGAGAAAGAAGCGGAGGTAGAAAAAGCAGCAAGACGAAACGCAGAGTTGGAAGCCCGAGCAGCCCAATTAAGCGCAGAGGCCCAAGCATGGCAGGCCAAAGCTCGGGCCCAAGAAGTCCAAGCAGCGTCACTTCAGGCCCAATTACAACAAGCAATGGTGGGCCCAGCAAATGGAAGTGGCGTGTTACAGGAAGGGAATGGGGTAGGGTGTGGAGGAGACGCGGAGGATGCTGAGTCAGCGTATGTTGACCCAGTGAGTGACCGGAGAGTAACGTCACCGAGTTGTAAGATGTGCCGGACACGTGTCGCGACGGTGGTGTTATTGCCGTGTCGGCATTTGTGTGTGTGTAGGGAGTGTGACGACGTCGTTCAAGCTTGCCCACTTTGTTTGTCTCTTCGAAGTGCCAGTGTTGAGGTCTACCTCACTTAGGATTGGCCCACCTGGCCCATTACCGAATTTCAGGCCCATAATATCTGACCCAAACAAAAGAAAAAAAAAAAGGACCCCAACAAAAAAAAAAATAATTAGAAATGGTAGAAATAAAATTTTTATTTAAAAAAAGTTAATTTTGTGTTTTGACAATATTTGAAAAAAAAAACCTCAAAACGACAACAAAAATGGACTTTTGCGGCTTTTATTTTGGGTCATTTAATTGGGGTGGTGAATGGGATGAACAGATGATGTACATGGCCAACTAATGGCGATTTTTCTTTCTTTTTTTTTTTTTTTTTTTTTTGCTTTATTTAAATTCAATTGATACATAAAATTCTTTTATTTGATTATTAATATGTGCATGAAATTTTGACCATATAGGTTTTTATTATGGTTGGTTTTTAAGATTGGTACAAATGTGTGGCAATGTATGCACATGAAGAATGAATGCAAATTCTACTCGGTAAATGAACAATGCATTGTTTTACACTTTTACCTAATGAAACACAAGAAAACAAACATACATGTAAAGATTGTCGGTTAGAGAATGCATTTTGTATTACCCCGTGCTTTTTTCAAACACATTATGACTTTTACCCTGTGTAATTTGACCATTAATATATTGAGATTATTGACCCTTAATAGTTAAATGTATAAAAAAAAATATTCTGATTGTATTTTGAAAGTATACAAATGAGGTCAAATGATTCAAATAAATTTATCTCAGAAAAAAAAGGTTTTAATAAGGGTTATCTGAATACAAATTACAACTAAAATAAATTTTAATAAGTTCAGTTAAATATAGTGAAAATCGGAAAAATAGAATACATCTTTAAAAAAAAATTACGTAATCTGGTTTAAATGCTAGTAATAATATCACAAAAGTATTTTACAATCTGTAAAATCACAACAAAGCTTAGATTCAACTCGAACCTGAAAGCTTTGATAATAAGGGTCTGTTCTCTTACGTTGAAATTCAACTCAATTCAGTTCAGTTCAGCTGAGTTCAGTCAATGAGAACATGACCTAACTGTAGCTTCGAGAGTTCGAGTAAATCCCTACCAATAACTACTCCCATAGGTCTACTGAAATGTAAAATTTCGATCTCCTAATCCGATTTAGTTTTTGACAAATACATAACCCTTATAATAGTTCTAATGTTAGGTAATGTGTTAGAAATACATTGAATTCATAAAAAGTCTATTTTGGCATGAAATAAGTTTAATTTGGTTTTAACTCCTCGTTTTGATCAGGATATAGTCTAAGAAAACTCAAAATCATGATTAAAAATAGATTTATACTCCCCCCCATTTCTAAATGTAAAATTTCAGTTTTCTATTCTAGCTAGCCCAATTTTGGACATGACATTGCCCTAATAGGCTAATAGTAGTATAGAGTACTATATAGTTAGTGCATAATAAGTCTAGCTTCAAATGGAATAATTCCATCAAATCCGTTTAGGGCCTGTTCATTCAGCTTAATTTCAGCTCCAATCAATTTAGTTCAATTTAGCTCCTAATTTCCTTCATTCATGAAATATTTATTTCAGCTCTATTCAGTTTAGTTCAGTTTAATACAGTTCAGTTAAGCTCATTTCAGTAAATATGAACAGACCCTTACTTCTTGTTGTTCTCTTAAGTCTAAGATAACACATAACTATGATGAAAGTGGATTTGTAATTTATCAATGTCGAAATCACTTTGACTTTTGCATTATTTCATACACATACTAGCTTTGAAATATGCACTATTGACATTTAAATGTTGTTGATGAATAAGGGCTTGTTCTTTTCAGCTTAATTTCAGTTTAGTTCAGCTCTAATCAGTTCAGTTCAGTTCACTTCACTTCCTAATTTCCTTCTCTCATAAAATATTCATTTTAACTCAGTTCAATTCAATTCAGCTCAGTTTGGTAAATTAGAACATACCCTAAGTTATAATGTGTACATTCTTAATTAACATCATATCTTATCAACTGAACTAGTAGTGAAAAAGTTAAAATATTAATTTTCACATTATATACATGTTACTTAAGTAATGCATTTATTTATTTGAAAACTCAAATTATGGAAATTGATGGAATATGAATTCGTATTTATGGATATCAATGATAATTGTAACATTTTAAATTTTTAACGATCTTGCTAACGAGCGCCCCGGGGTGTTAGATAAGGATAAACTATATTGGTTGAAATGGTATTAAGTTAGGAATTCATGACAAAATCACGCGTCGTTCGGTGAAATTAATGTTAATTTTACTCTAATATTTACACTTTAATTCTCTTATCTAACGTCCCGGGGGCGCTCATTAGCTTTTGCCAATTTCTATTTAGTCCTCCATCCGTCAATTTAGTTTGCTCGACCAATCTTCTATTTTAATTTATATGGTCCTCTATTATTCTACTCCAATACATTTGGATAAAATTGGAAGGTGTTATACAGTATATGACTTGAAATGGGCAAGGATATCATATTTGTGTTGGCCTCTCTAATGTCGGAGGTCTATTCATTGCACATGCGTGATAGGGGTCGGTTACCCTTTCAATGGAGCAGCAAGGTAGTACATATCATTGATTTGGCTGTTTTATACGTGTTTCTATTTTTATTTTTCCTTCTAGGTAAAATTTCTTTTATATTGGCCACAAAATATTGTTGTGCTTAATAATTCAAAATAAATTACACCAAAGCCACGATATGAAACATGCAAAAATCAATTGATTGGTAAATTTGTGTGGCTAAAGCAAAATTTTAACCTCCATAAATGAAACTATTAAATTTAGATATCAAGGTTAAAAATTATACCATCAACCATTTTTTTTAATGGATTATATTACTTTGTGACACAAAATTGAACTATCACCTAATGAGCATAAAATTTGAGGGCTTTAGGCTCAACACTTATCAACTTCATGTTCGTGGTTAGGGAAACATTTCCGTGTTTCTTTGAATTTAAGAATCAAAATCTAAATCTTTAGATTGAAACTTTATTTCCCATAGGAATGTGAAATGCACTTATGAGTTATGATTATATCCTTTACTCCCCAAAAATGACTCCTCAATGAATGAAAACCTAAATTTTCTTATTTTGCATGCAAATTTCTTCTGTTAACAATCTAGTATGATTTATATTTGACACTAACTTTTTAGATTCAATACTTTAAAGTTTAAACCTAGTCAGTTTGAATAAACAGTTCAATTCATTGTGATTTCAAAAGAAACAATAATCAACTAACATAGTCTCTAGCATCCATATAATTCAACAACAACAATAATCACAAAATGCAAAAGGGCCAGATATATGTCATATTGAGTTGTGTGAGTGTTTTTTTTGATAATGAATAAAAGCTAGCACCATCAAAAAAGCAAATTGGAGTTGTATGATATGGGTGGCATATATAGACAACAAGAATCCTTTTATCATGACCATCCAATCTCTCTTAGACTTACTTCAATTTTAATATTCAAAAATTGTTATTCAAGGGACAATTATACATCTTTACGAGGCATTAAACTCCTCTCTTGATTTGCCAATTGCCTTATTAATAAATAATTTAATTAATTACAAAATATATATTATGCTAATTGATCATGTTGGTGATTGGTTCAATAACTTAATAAACTTCTAGATTGTTAATTTGTCGTTACTTATGCAATATTTAGTCAAATTTCTTCAGTTTTCCAAGTAGAGAATCATATGCGCTCAGAAGAATTTTAGTTTATCTCTAATAATCTAGAATTGAATTGTTTAGTTGTGTGCCTTGCTAGAAAATTCATTCTTAGAAGTTAGAATGGCCTACATATATACACATACATAGATGATTGTGTATGTAACATCTTTAACTATGACTTAGATGAATAGTATACCCTTGAGTATTAATTTTCTAATTAGGTCATTTAAGGTTGAATAGTTGCTCTAAAGAAAATATAGAGGCACCACGTTTGTTTTGGATTCTCTCCGATTTTTTAAGGAATTGAAGTTTGACGGTAAAATATGCATGACAGGAATACATCAGCAGCGCTAATTATTAGGACATATGAGTACCATTTTATTATCAAGCTTAGTATTGGTTTTCTCTTCTTAATGATAAAAATTAGATTAAAAGACTGAAGAGATCAGATCGACCCCTGATAGAGATAAGTCGATGATAATATCGGAATTGTTTGGCAACCATCTAGCTAGATCTTATTGTCAACTACTCCATAACTTATGTTGTCACCAGGAATATTTGCTATTCTATTACACCACAAATGAGAGATGACAAGTTCAAATTATTGTAAATTTGAATTTGTGATAATACTTATTACAAGTAATTTCTTAAGCTATAAAAATTAAAAATAGGTCAGTTGCATATGGTATTCATAGGCCATATATAGTGGAAATCGTCAAAATGATCCAATATATGCATACATTAAAACAGCACTGACAACAAACTAGAAGTTGACGTAAGTTTACTGGCATTGCCTGTCTCTTCGCAAATCATAGGTAGTTACAAAACATTATTTGCGATATTGAATACTGACCCATAAATCAATATATATCATTCAAACTTTTTTTGTCATAAACTTATTTCCACCTTGAATTTTTCTCCCAATTTCTAGATTATCAATCTACATACAGCTATGCATATGCTTAATAACAAATTATTTTTGTATACAAACTCTTATTGAACATAAATTCTTACCTAGTCTAATAATAATTAATATCGTGTTGTGTATAGACGATTGTTTGTTATGTTTTATTGTATCATTGTCAGCTCCACAAAATTAATTAAATAAGAGATACTATTTTGCATACGAGAAAAAAAAATTATATCTACTTAGTAAGGTGACGTAGAATTACAAAGGAATAAAGTAGGCACTTGTATACTCTTTCTCGTGTAATTACTTTGTTGTGAAAAATCCAAGAAGTAGGTTTTAACTTGGAGTTTGGACACGCGCCTGGACGGTGTTGATGTATTGATCATGGGTTGCTGAGTTCAATGTTCATGCCTAGGTATCAATCAACTTGCCCTAAATTTTCCAAATAATAATCATAGTCTTTAATTTTCTAATTTTAATTGTAAATAAACTACTGTTATGTTTTGACTTGAGAATATAGATAACAGTGTAATTCATTAAGAAAAAAAAGATATTATGTTAATGAACATATATGAATAACTGTACGGTTTAATTAGTTGTCTATCCTATTCGTAATTTCTAAATACGCAATTGCAAGTTGGAACTCAAACCCCGCCACTAGGCTACCAACACAAATACATAGCTATATTTGCTAAAACCACATCATATTGATTGATTTCACGCCATCAATTTAAATGGATTTCGTCTACTATTCAATTTATAATGTGATGACACAATTAGAGAAATTGGATCACCATATGCAAATGTCTCTCTCGTGCTATATGACTTTCACTAACCAACAATTTTTTGTTATTCAATTAGTCGACAAAAAAATAGGTTGTTCATATGAGAATTATTTTAATCACAATCAACTACTCATAGACTCATAGTACATTAGTACTTCATATTGGGTTA